CTCCTCGTGCGCCGGGCACCTCTTGAGTTACGTCTATCTTGTACAAATAGCCATAAATTCAGGACACTGTAAACCCAGCATCATGGGTTGGACCATTTTTTTTTTTTTGAGTAATGGTAAATAAACAGATAATTCTCGCAGTCGGGAAAAGATAACAGGAGGTATATGCCGTGCGGGGACGGAAACGAGAGTTTTGCCGGTGTACCGTGTCCTCGTTGCGGTGCAGTGTGCATTATTGTCATGGATGAGGGTGCAAGGGAGATACAGAGATAGAGAGATAGAGAGAGAGAGAGAGATAGAGAGAGAGAGAGAGAGAGAGAGAGAGAGAGAGAGAAAGAGAGAGAGAAGCAAGTGGGAACGGAGTATACAAGCAAAGAAAAGGCGAAGCAAGATAATACGAGATAAAGAAAGAGAACGGCAAAGAAATCCGTAACCCTGTATTACGTCCACACCGATACTCGAATATAAACACGGTTTACTTCTCTTGGCAAAGATATCGCCAGGGAGGGACGCGGTCGGCTTAATTAGAATCTTCGTTAAAAGAAAGAGACGCTGCTGGTCCACAGGTAAAAATGTAAGAACTATTTTCATTAAACTTTCCCCGTGCTCGAGAGACTCTCGCCATCCTCCTCTGGTCCAGGCTAACCTCCTACTTTAACTTCGCGGGTGCCTCTCTGTCTCTCCCGCAATCGTACCACCCACACAAGGGGTTGGATGAGCAGGGGTAGTGCGCTGGCTCGCAGTTTACTTGTGGATTCGCCACGACGTCGGCAACCGCCGAGAAATTCGTCCTCGTTAATTGCGCTGGGCGGCGTGGCGATTAATCGCGGAAATTAATTTGCGAGTTGTGAGTCTAAGAGAGAAGGACTGTGAGAGAGAGAGAGAGAGAGAGAGGATAAAGAAAAGATCAAAGAGCAGTAAACAACATAAAATCGTGAATGCACGGTGATAGAAGAAAATTAATAAATAAAAAAAATAATTACAATACTATATACAAATTTCTCGTAATTAGTCTATAACGACAGATAATACTATACGAGCTCACTCAAGATATTGGTAATTTACCCTTGTAGATTATCCAAAACCATACGAACTCGTTAACATTCCTATTGTTTAGCGTTCACGCGAGCCAACCCTAAAGCCGTCATGGTTCTTGTCATCTTTTTTCATTCGCCATGCGTAATATATATATATATATATATATATATATATATATATATATATTGCCATACACCGGTACTATAACAGGTTCTCCGCGTTAGTAGGATAGAAAACAGAGAACGCGGCAATGCCATTAGTAAAATTACCGCTTACAATATTACCAATACGGCAGAGTGGTGAGTATTTACGAAGCGGGCCCAGCTATCCTCTTTGCTACTCTGCTAACCCTCATCCGATATCTTTCCCTCTCTCTCTCTCTCTCTCTCTCCCATCCAGACAGACAGACACGCACACACCCCCGCACCGGTATATTCGAGAAATTGTACGCCCAGGGATGGAACCGAAACGCATTACCGAACCTATCTTTTTAGTCAACGAGGATACTGTAAAGTACAAAGTGAAATTTGCCACATGGCCCGGCTCGTAGCCAGCCCCAAGTTTTTTATGGACCCGTTATGACCCGGGCACGGGTTATGCCATCGTGACGTAAGGCCTCGTTCACACTGAAGCCAATACCAGTAACCGATCGCTTAATCAAAAATAACGTTCCACCTATAGGTATACACAAGAAGGACCGAGTTCGTCTTAACCAACGTTATACAAAGCATCGTCGACTCGATCGTTTGCTTTAATTGAGATTGAATTTCGAGATAAGTTTGTATCGTTACACTGGTGAAAAGGGTGAAAATTCTACGCTATCCTACTAACGTACGAGTAGTGTCATCGGTACGTGACAATGGGGCTACGGATACGTCTATAGTCTGAGCCTTGGAGCATCCCGCGAGCGGCAATAATACATGGACCGATGGGCTTCGTTAACGTGCCATTAGCTTGATGATTTTACGATTACATTAGACGCGCTCGGGGATACTGTTATGTTGCGCGAAGCGAATTTATTATCGTAAAAAAGGCATTACGTGGAGCGGTGTAAGGGTGAGTGCCGAGTATACATATAGTAACGGTATAACGGCCGGGTAGACGCCATATTTATCTCTCGTGTTCTCCGGGGGTCCAACAGTGGAAGGTTCGTCCCCTTATAAAGAAAGAAAAAAAAAAAAAAAAATAGCGAAAAGAGAGGATCTCACGAGAGAGCAAGTAATATGAAAGGTACATGGAAGGAATAATTATCTCCATGGAAATCATTGGCTGGCAGCACCTCGTTACTCCCCTCTCGCCCCCCCCCCCCCCCCCCC